TGAAAGAAGAATGTCTATTAAGGCGTAATTTTCAATGATTTCCTATTAAAGTGTTTCTCATTCGGTTGAATTTCACCATGGAAAAATTGTAGGATGTAGTGAATTACAATTTGTTTGAACATACCACATACCATGAGCATATTCAGCGGTTAAAATGTGAAGCGTTTAAACAGTTTGTCTGATATCGTAGATGAATATTGGCTAGCAATGGAAGCCAGAAAGTGTGTTTTGTCCTGGTCGGAACTCATCACTTGAGTGTTCTGTCATCTCAATGACTGTTGATTTTCTGACTGAAACGAGGAAGCAGTACCCACAGCTACAAATATTAGAGAGTTAGATATTCATTAGGTTAGTGAGTTATGCTAGTCACCTATTGTACAACGGGTGTGATCATTATTCCTTCTCAATATCGTAATAAAATCTACTGTCATATCGAGGCGTATGCACAGAAACTAACGTTCTAACATGCGGTCAGTTAGTTAGTTCGGTTCAAACCAATCAACATTGAGAGGCAATAAGTCCCTCTATGGACAGTTTTTTACTTGACTGTCAGTATAAGTATTTCGGTAAAAATACCTGTTGTTTTGCAGAATTCCGAGTAAAGCCATTGTGGTTCTCTTTAGTTATAATCTCTGTATACATAAATAATTCTACAGAAGATTCATAGTTCGACGACTCTGATATCTGGATGAATTAAATGCTGATGAAACAACCTACTCTGATGATAAAGCCTCCGGTGTCAAAGATCGAAGCCTATAACACATTGAGTAAAAGTTATTCTGTTAAACGATGTAGATTTTACGCTTCTATTGACTGATACAAGTTAACTTTAATTTGAGAAAGCCGTCACTAGTATCAACCAAAAGCAGCTGCCAATCTCTTGTATGTAACATAACCAGTCTAGAGGCTTAGTGATAAGACGTAACTAGTGTAAAGATGCAACTTCTGAGTTCGAATGGGAAACAGTGACCAGCTGAGTCAAGCAAATCGGAAGTCATATTAAAAATAAGATGGTAGTTGAGCTATACTACACATCGACTAAAGTCAGTAATTGCTGAATTTTCAATTCTAACACTATTGTTGAGATGACAGCTGCTCTTCACAAGATCTAAACACTCTGGGCTTACTATTTTATGGAGCTTTCTGTTCATAGGGATAAAGAATCCAGAATGAAAAAAGAACACATTAAGTAAAAGGTAACTGTATATGTAACCCTGATAATTGATGAGATAACCAATCGTGGTACTTTATTTTATGAAAACTACCTTCCCAGATGAAATACCATAGCCTGATTGACTATTTCAGTGGTTATTAGAGTTGCCTCTAAAGTCACTCAAAGCAAAAGTGTGACGTAAACGAACTTGAAGTCAGTTTCTGTGCCAGGAAGGAGATTACCTTATATTTAATATTTTCGAAAATAAATCCGATTCACTTAAACACCTCAAACTGCACTAACAATGTCTCAAGTATTATTATTGTACAATACTAACTAAACAAGATTCTTAAGTAAACTAATGTTGGTAGTAGAGTGCACTCTTCATTCCAGTCAGGCCACTGAAACTCCATACCTTCAAAATCGTTTAAATGCTTAATAGGAATCAAGTTGGTAACTCATTCTTATCCAAATCCAGGTTTATATTCAATTGAGTTCACAAGTTAATCTAATAATCTACGATCTTGGTTTCAGATGTTAACCAACACTATTCTCCGTCATTCTGATAATTCTTTTATTCCCATATATAAGTAAAGTTGTATTCATCATGGGCTGATAGAAGTAAGAAACTGTGAACCATTGAACTGCAACGCACTGGCTGAATGATTAATCCGTTCACTGTGGAAACTGAAGGTCTTGAGTTTGACCCTTGCCCGAGTCATGAGTGCATATTGCTGAGGAGTCCCATACGAAGACGAAACAGCTACCCAGTGATCCCAGGTTTTCAATGGTTCTCCAAGTGATGTCAGTCCAGTCCATGATGAATACCGACCTGAAGTCAATTAAACCCCCTAGACTTCCAAATAATTATTATTATTATCATTGCATGAAGTATCTGATAAAGAACACGATATCCAGTGACTTTAATTACAAATATGCAGCTTTAATAAATCGAATAGCCAAAAAAAACCTTTAATTCTTTTTATATTGGGTGATGATTAAAGGTGAGATGAAAAAATCAGCGACCACTGGGTTTCCGGTCCGATACTGTACCAAATCACCTACGAGGTCCAACTGCTGACCACATTTTTATTTCACTTCAATCACAAGTGGAGCTCTGTCCGACTATCATGTGAATTCATGATGCGTTACTACCACTTGATCGTATTCTCACTGACTGCTCAGTCAGGACTCCAAATCCAAATGTAACTAAGTTAGAGAGCATCATCTTGATTATCAGTTTTGACTATCTGGGATAGCTGTAGTCTGGCAGACTAGTATTTATACTGGACGATGATTGAGTGTGAGATAAGAATTTGGTCAGTAGTCGGACCTCGTAGGTCAGTTAGTAGAACATCGGGCCGGTACCCGGGTGGTCGTTGGTTCGAATCCCACCGCAGCCCAAATTATCATCTCACCTTCAATCATCACGCAGCGTAAATACTAGTATGCCAAACTACGGCTGTCTAAGGTAGTCAAATGATGATTTCCTTCTCCGTTACGTCTTGGTTTCATTTCTAGATGAGTTGTTTGTGCCAAAAAGTAAGATACTTCAATTCGTTGCTTTGTTTTCTAGGAGACCTTTTATTTTTAAGTCCTTTCATTCATCTCTTTATAGTACCCTAGAATAATTTCATTCTGTCTATAGTTATTTATACTGGATATTAAAGTAACCAGTTAAGAAAAGGTGTATAGAATGAAATAATTTGAAGTAAAAACAAAACATTACTAGATTAGAGAACTGGAAAAATAATTAATTGAAGCATTTTAACAATTTCACTATATAGTAAGCAGACGAAGATAGAATAAAACAAACAATTGAACAATTGAACGCACCAAAATATTACCTTTCAAATTCTGTCAAGTGACTGTCACTCTCTTGTCAATTTAACTGTCTATTAAAATGTATATAATCTTATTATTACCATTGTTTTCTTTTTTGTAGCCTAGCACTTTAAAATACATATGATATGAATAAATAACAAATAATACTAGTAGACGACACTATTTATGCCTTCCAGACTTCCTCTGGTATTCATTCTCTGTGTCTTTTGCTTTTTATCTTAATGTCTAAAAATGACAATATAAAACTCACCTGTCTTATATTCACTCAGAATGACACAAATATGTATCTGTTGTTCTAATTGGTTGACCTTGTACATCATTTACAAACATTTACATCAATAACTATTCACAGATTCAAATCTTCAACCTAGATAAATGGGTAAATCAAGCTTCATTTAAGAAAAGGGAAAGATGTTCATATCTGCAGCTGTATATCATTTTAGTAACTAGGTTAAGAAAGTATTTGTGGTCTGAGATATGCTTTAACCTTCTAAAAAAGAAAAAGGATTTTGTTGAGGCACAAATGTTCGTTTTTCCCTTCAATTTGTGTATCTTCCCAAATCTCGTTCTATGACCTTGAAATGATACATTTAAACAATTAGAAGTTTATGACAGGTTGAATTATGAACACTGGTATACAGACATATGTAAGTATACTTGAATCTATAAAAGTATTCAGTTTTTAAAAAATGAACTGTATACATCAGTGAAAACTGGTAAAAGCACATATGCATACAAAGCGATTGACTGAAAGTCTTGTGTCAAATAATGCCATGTCACAAGACCTATAATGATGACGGTGTTATGGGTGATGATTTTTTTGGAAAGAAGTAAAAAAACAAATATAATAATGGCGTGTGAAAATTCCACAACTTTTCGAATCAACACGTGTAATTATTGTTTAATGGAATTACTTTTTGTTTTCAATATAGGTTAAAGGTAAATAATTATTCGGCTGTGAAATTTGTAGTCAAGACTTGTTTTGGTAGTACCTGTTGTGTACAAGTGGACAATAGTGAATAAATAAAATTTACAGTATCCTAAGTAATCGCCATGCTTCTTCTACTTTAGTATGTTCAATATTTATTGAATATTATGCGTTACACTTCTCTTTTGTTGTTTGAAATTCCCAACCATTGATTAAACCGCAATTTTTATTCTCGACTCCCATATGGGCTCCTGCGTGGATGCCTTGATATTCCCAGTGATTCCAGTTTTATAGTACTGATGGATGGTGGCCAGCAGTAGAGTTCAGGCCACGCGTTTCATTCTACATGGGACTCGTTAGCCGACTGTACTTACTTCCCAGTGAGCAGTTTGTTCCCACAGGGGCTCGAACCCAAGGCCAATCACTTCAAATACCAGTGGTAGTCTTTATCCACCATTAATATTAAGTCTGAAGATATTGGTAATATCAAGGTATCTGCTTAGGAGTGCATTTGCCAATGGTGGCCGATCATTTTAGTCCAGTCAACGACAGAGGTTCACAACCTATAGCATCGAAAGGGTTTGAAGTAACGAAATCCGGATAACCAGTCCTGTGCTGTACTACTTAAGCCACGAGACCCATCTGCTTTCCGCGCTTTAACTTCACTTGACTGTCAAATGAATCTGTGATACGTAACCCCTATCGAAATTTAATTGAGTTACAGATTCAGAGTGTGCAATTGATAACTAAACCAACTATCTATGGTAGCCATGATTACGAAGACTATTGTTATTACTATTCCTGGCATACGAAATCTTGCATTCATCCATTGTCTACATATAGGACAATTCACTTGAAACAACAATACCCTACAACCGTAAGTCACTTTTTCTTCCTGATCAACTCATGATGTTATCACAAATTACTCAATTGTTTATGGAACGCAGGAGTCCTTAATAGTACTTTGCCTTAATCCTGAAACTTTCGATTGATAACTGTCATAAGCGGAATCGCCTACAATATCCCAATAGCAAGAAAAATACTGTGTAACAGAAAAAAGAAATAAATTTTGTTAAATCTGATCAATTTTATTTCATTTCAGCCTAATACCATGAACAATATATATATGTATATACTTATCTGTAAAATAGTTTTAGAAGATATTTCTTCACAGTATCCTTGTCAGCATCATAGATGACATTGTATTATTATTATTATTACTATTGCAAGGTGTACAAGTAAAAAATATTGAGACAAAAGTTTATGTTCAAAAGTAGACTTCATGTATAGTTATTTTTCATAAAAGTAAGTTAATGAACAAATAAAAGTGATTAGTTGATCAATTGTTCAATCAATGAATCAATTGATCAGTTGAAAAAGGAATAAATTAACCCTCCCCCCCCCACCTCGATTAACTAGAAACTACTAAAGAGAAATATTTGAACACCAAGTATCTATCAAAAACAGACACTTTGATTTCTTTTAAAGATGTATAAGAGTGAGGTAGGTGATATCTAAAATTGAGAGACGAAAAAGAAGAAGAAGAAGAGGAGGATAACAGAACAAAGTAGAGATAGAATTGGAAAAGATCCACCTAGAGTAAAAGTAACCGAAAGAGTTAATTAGCTTAAGGAAATTATCTCATTCTTTTTGTATTCATTAGTATCAATAAAATCATCTTTATGATATATATACATACATGTATGTATATAAGTCAAAGTAGAAAATATGAAGTGAGAAATAAAGTAATTGATACTATAATATATAATTTGTACACCGGAGATATTGTTAGAAGAATGAATGAATAAAGGCAATGAAGTGATTCCCTCTAAATGAAATTATATATGATAGATAGATAAGTATGATAGAAATATGAGTCAGTTCACTTGTAGAATATCGCAGCTTTTACTCTTTCGATTAATATTACTACTACTACCATTACTACTGATGCTTGAATCAATGATAATGGAATTATTCATTATTGACAATGAAGTATTCGTGAAACAGTCTGTTATCGGAGAGTAATAAGTTTCTGTTGGACATTTTTCATGTGTATACACTTCTTTTCCGCCTTCATTTTCATTTTCTTGACTGTGTAGCTTTTCGTCCTCTGGTTTAAATACATGCGAAGATGTATAGTTTAAAAGATACGATGGTATAATGGAGTCTTTATTATTATTACTATTACCAGTGGTTGTAGTAATAGTGCAAGTAGTTGTAGTAGTAGTAGAAGTAGTAGTACTATTTGATAAGGAAATATCATCAAAATGATCAGAACAATCAAACTGATTTCTTATTGGTGAAGATATACGCTGATTAATTACGATATCCCTATCACAACTACTCAACGAATTATTAGTAGTATCCGTTATCACCATATTATTACCAATAGTATTATTTGGTATTGGCAATCTTGTACCATCTGTAGCTGATAAACTTTCTCTGTTGTTTAATGTAAGCCAATTTGTAAGAGAGTTTGTTGATTCTGATAATAAATGAGGCATAATTTTATTACTTAATTCTTGGTGTTCTTTTAAAACTTCTTCATTGAATTTTTTAAAATTATGTACAATATTCAATGAAGTTTTACATGGGGAATAGTCTTCACAAGTTTTTATTGTACATACTGTTGTAATCGGTAAATTACTAATTGATGTAGGTACATTGTTAATTGATGCGGTTGTACAATTGGTCATATTGACAAATGAATTATTGGATAAATTTGTTTTAAACAATATACTACCACTTTCTAGATCAGAATCAGTTGAATTTGATTGATGACTAGTTTCAGAATAAGTTGAATGCTGTTGTAATGGTAGAAGAAGACCTGGGATTAACTGATGTGTATCATCAATTTGTTGTCGTTGTTGTAAATTTTGATTATGTAATAATTGTGAAGTATTATTACATGTATACAAAAGACTACTGTCTAATGGATACAGATTATCGTATAATTTAGGAGAGGAATTCATTGATTGATGCTGAAATGGAATATGTGAAGCTTGATGATTATCAGACTGGTAAGCAAGATGTGAAGCTGGTGATATTGAATGATGCATATTATAATAGGTATTTTTCATCATATCAAAACTTCTTTGAGATTCTATCAGAAAATCATTCGCCTGAAATAAATTCGATGTATAATCATTCATTTGATTGGTTGGTGTTGTTTGTTGTTCTTGTTCTGGTTGTGTTTTACAATACAAACTGCTGTTATTCCCGCTATTCAAACGATCATTTGATCCATACGATTGATTTAAATGTTGCAATTGTGATTTTAACTTTAAAGTATCCAAATTGATTTGCGTTTGTTTTGATGTCTCGGACAGAGTTGTTGATGAAGTCGGTATTATTGTTTGTGATGGATTGCCAATATTCAATGAAGTATATGTCTGTGAATTTGGTGAATATGAATCATTTGTATAACTGGAGGATAGATAAGCTGAAGTAGACAATGATCTTTTATAATTATTGTTAATATTTGGAATATCATCATTATCCATGTGTTCCCACATTAAATGATCACTTCTAAGTTGGGAAAGATCTTCAGACTGTTGTTGAATTGTTTGCTGAAATTCATTGATTGATAAATTATTCCGTGGATATTTTGATTCTTTTTCAGCCGGACCACAAACTACAGCAGCTAGTTGTGAGATAAAATCTTTCGATGTTGATAATCGCATATTATCAACACTACTACTATTACTGATATTAGTAGTAGTAGAAGTAGTAGTACTAGTACTAGTAGTAGTAGTAGTGGTAGTAGTATTAAAATGTGAGAAATTCTCAGAATTGAATTCATTTCTTGTAGAGTAATGACGTTTTCTTGAAGATTTTCGAAATGGATGATCTGTCACTTCTAATGAACTCTCCCTAGTCTTTTTTCTTAATTTACACACAGGATTGACGATACGATCATTTTCATTATTATCAGTTATAGGATTACGCATATACTCATCATTTTGTCGACTTATCATTGAATAAAAGTGACCAGTATTACTGATAGAATTGTGTAATTCATGCTTTATAAAGTCTGTAGAATTTCTTGTAGGGCTAGTAGTGTCGATAACTGGATAACAAGTACGTGTTTCATTAGTGCTCAGTTGGTTTACCCTACTATTATTATTATTATTACTGCTGTGATTAATCACAGTATCACTTGAGTTTGAATGTGCATCATAATCTGTTGGATTCAATGTTTCATTTGGTGATAAATAGTGTACACGTAAATGTTTACGTAATGAACTAGGATGTGTATAACTTTTGTCACAACCTTTAAATCGACAAAAATATGGTTTATCATTCATATGAACATGCATATGCTTTTTACGATCTGAACTATTGGCAAAGCGACGATCACATCCTTCGAATTCACAAACAAATGGTTTTTCACCTGTAATAAATACATATAATTAAAAATAAAGTGTGATCAGACTAAGTTAATAGGTTATATTTGCAAATAGTACACTTGTGGCTGTTTATTTTGAGGGCGATGACTTTCACTTAGTGGTTTGTGGGTTCGAATACTGCTCCACTTATTGAGATTTGAGCAACCCTCACATAAAAAGGTGTGTCTTATTGTATACTTCAGGAATGTGTACAAGGTTGCCGAGTGGATTTCAGCATTCCGCTCCGGTTTACAAACAATCATATATCCAGAACCCTATTTGAGATGAGAGATACCCCTGTGAATACAACTGATGGTTACTTAGATATCATACCTGATTGAACAGAGGAGCATTTTACTTCTCAGCCACATGATTGGAATCCTATGAACTACATAGGCCTACTCCTGTCACTTCGCGATAAATAACAATATGAACTGTCAGTCCCTTGAGGTTGGTCAAGCCGAGGGTGAGGTGAATGCTCACCAGGGACACTGTGCGATGGTTGTGATGTGCAGCAAATTGATAAGAGTAGAGATTAGTGGCCTGTCAGGGTTCCAACCCAGTGGTTGAATGGTAGCATTCTTACCATGAGGTCTGGTAGTCTGGGGGTTGAGGAGTAACCAGCATCGTGTTGTCTACTCCTAAGTGCTGATCTAATTCTTTCCATCATTTTGCAATTTGGACACTACGCTAGGAGAGTACCCATCGCTGTGCACTTTAAAGGCAATCGTTAGGAATTATTACTGCTCTTAAGTTTCAGACTTTTAATGACTTAACAGCTGTGAGATTCAGACCTACATCAACCAGTGGTGAATTCAGGAGGTTAAATGCAATGCAAGCAGTTCAGTGGTTACATCTCTACCTGCAACACTAAGTGATGTGGGTCTGAATATCACAGATGTTAATTCCCTCGAGACTGATGATACACCTTACTTATAAGTGTCAACAAGCAGGGCTTCCTGACGATTACTTCAAACCAACTGATAAAATGAATGTGTCAACAATAAAAAATTGCATCCTCATAGGCTTAATGTACAAGATTAAATTGATAAAAACCAAAAGAATTATCGCTTATTTGGAAATACTTGAACTAGCAATTAGACATAAATAAAAAAACTTTACACAATAGTTGATTTTGTTCATTATGGAATTAATCATGAAACATTATGTCTACAGAAACAGAATTACTGGACACAGTTATTGTCCAACTATAAAACATCAAAATGATCGACTAAGTTTGTTTATCGTAGACTCTGTGATCAATTGATGACACTGTTATAGGAGAGATCAACACAGTTTAGTGACATGATAGGCGGGATGTTTTTATGTTTTATAGATACATATCAAATAATGCTTCAGTTATGATGTTTCGCTTCAATCTGATGCATTTAATGCATTACTTATATAAAACTTGATTAAATAATCAGCAGAGATCACACTTTTTTTCAACTGAATATAGAATGAAGCATAAATGGTGTTATTATAGAGCAAAACACAAGAAAATATGGAGATAATCTTTCGCTGACAACTAATCATAGTGGGGAAAACATCACTCAGTACGATGCAGGTATATCCAGCTGACGTGTCCTAGATAAGAGGAAACGCCTATCCTTGATTCCATCCCTAACCATCAATAAGACTGTATTGCATTAAAACATCTTGAAGTAGTAGAGATTTGTAGCTCAAGATGAAGATAATAATCTAGAGGTAGTATTCATCAGTGATTGACATCAGTTGGAGAACCATTAGAAATCTGGGATCACTGGACTACTGTTTCGTTCTAGTATGGGACTCCTCGGCAGTAGGCACCCACGGCCCAGTTAGGGATCGAACTCACGACCTTCAAGTTTCACGGCGAACACGTTAACCATTCAGCCACTGAGTCAGTTTTCAGTGGTTCACAGTTTCCAACTTCTGTCAGTTCACGATGTAGTACGTCTATCGCCCGACTTCTTCAGATGCCATCCGCTTCCCTTCCGACTGGCTAACTCCACAGGTCATGGCTTCTCATCTGAAGTATGTCACTAATCAGAACTATGTAGTAATGTATTTTTGAGATGAATAGGGTAATATTCATCATGCAGTGACATCAGTTGGGGAACCTTTTTTCTAATATGGGACTCCTGGTGTGGTCATGGGTGCGTACTGATGAGGAGTCCAATACTAGGACGAAACAGCTGTCTAGTGCTCCCAGATTTTGAATGGTTCCCCAACTAATTTCAGTCCATGATGAATACCACCCCTAAATTAAAATCCCCATTCATCTCGAAGACAATAATTGTTTAGTATTCTTCGAAATTTGAGGTTTTTGTGGCCGTTTCATCAACGAACTAGGCGACTTCATCGGCAATTACTTCATATATCAAATCTTTCGCTTTAATGTAGACATTTTTTCGGGCTTTTTTGGGGATAAGATACACTTCAACATTCAAATAATTCAAAGTTTCGTGAATATCGTTTAACATTGAATAAATTTCATGGAAAACAATCTACTTAATAAATACTATTAACAAGGATTTAAGTATGTGATAATTCGTTTGTATAAGTGTATTCTTAAAAAGTCATTTATGATTTCTATCCTCCTTTTCACCTATTTCTTAATTATTTACGTCGAACTATTTACCTATAGAATAGGTATGTATGTAAGTAGAGTTTCTGAAGTATGACGAAAACCATCACTTCACCGACTCGACGTCCCAAGATGTATGTGTATGTGTGTGTATGAGAGAGACGAAAGAATCTGATTTAACCAAGTCCACTTATGCGTACGAATGGTTTTAGTTAAGTTATCCATTACAACACAAATTTACGCGTGTAACAAATGAAAAAAAGGTGATTTACTTATCCTTTTTTCCTTTAATTCCCAATGGGGATTTATCTTACTTTATATTTTGATTCGCTTTGAAATGATCTCCATCTTTTATACATATATATATAGACATATTACGGAAATACAGGACCCTATAATTAGTTAAAACACTTCAAATGTTATTGAAAGACACTGAAAATGTTAATGATTAGTACACTGAACATTAAGATTTTATTAATTATGAAGGAAAATGATTAAAAGTCTTGAAAGTAATGACTGGTAGAAAGTAAGGTGATAGATAATCTTTTGTAATGTCAGTAGTTTGTTCACTTTTCAAAACGATTTTCTCCGCTATTAATGAAAAGAAATCAATGAGAGGAAAAAAAGTCAGTTTTAGTACTGAACAGGGTTTACCATTGAATTTTGAAAGATTTCAATGGATCATTAAGTCTAGTTAGTATAGGATAGGCGACTAGTCCTACGATTCTTAGAGTAACCATCTCTAAAGATATTTTCCCAAATAGCAGACAATTTTAACAACTTATTGTGATGAATCTCATATGATACTTGGATTTAGATAGAACATGATGAACTTTTTTCTACTGCCTTGAAATAAATAAGTCCTCATAAACCTCAAACCAAATTACTGTCTAGGGGTCATAAGTGACATGCTTCTAGATGAATATTCCTTGATCTGTGGTGTCAGCCAGTTGGAAGTGAATCGGATATCAACTGGAGACCATAGATGAAAGTCACATTATATCACTAATTGACAGAAGTAGGGAATTGTGGACCAATAAACTCTGATCCAGCGACTGGATGGTTAACGCGTTCACCACGAGCGAGATCTGAATATCGTGATGTTGATGGCTGCTAGGGTGGGGTTATGGGTACATACTGCTGAAAAGTACCATACTAGAAAGAAACGTCTCTCAAGTGCTCCCAGGTCTTCAATGATGTCAATTTGTGATGAATACTACCTTGGAACTTTGTTTTATCTTAAGATCTTCATGAATATCTGAATATTTTTCGGTACTACACTTCAGTGAGTGGTGGGTACTGGATTCGTGTTTCAGTGGGGACAATATCACTCAGTGGGGCATATATATATATATATATATATATATATATATATATATCAGCTGAAGAGCCCTAAATAGGAAGAAATACGCGTCCTGATTTCCACTGCTAGGGCTACCAAATAGACTACAACTTTCTTCTTTATTTTTGGTAATCATACAAAACTAGCCATCATGAGTAGTCATTGTAAGTTACAGATACTTTATTGCCACACGGATAGGTCACCAGTGGATAACGAGTGTAGTTGTCTAGTCCTCTGAGTATATTACTAACCGAAGTTCATCAATTAGGGTTTGCAATGTGATCAGTAAGCCAAGTGATACAACACTATAGTACACTGTATTTCAGTTTTAGATGTGGTGAGTCAACTGGCAAGAAACCCTTGACCGTGGAAGCACGGTTGTTGATCTGAATAACTCAGTGATCATAAGCCTTTGATTGAGTAATATGGGCTTCAGTCAGGGAAGAAACACGACAGATACACCTTGGTTATGAGTAGCTCCCCTCCGATTGACTATTATTTGTAAATCAACCCGTTACAAGTTTATATACTAGAAGTTGAGTTAAACTAATTTTGTAATGGTTTATGATACTAAGTTTCACTCATTATATTGATCTTGATAATCGGTAGAGGAACACAGCACACACGTCTCTTCCTATTTGAGACTCTTCAGTTGTATGTACCTGCACCCCGGTGAGTGTTGTTGTTCTCGCTGAGGCTCGAACACATTACCTTTCACTTCAAACGCCAGAGCGTTATCTACCAAGTCACTGGGGCACGATAGCCACCACCTCACTAACTAGAGATAGAAAAGTAGCAATTACAGAGAAAAGTATAGAAGTAACCAGACTTCAGGTGAAATTCTTAGATAATGTGACATGAGAACTTTTCAATGGCCCAACCAGCTCCAGACTTGTAGTCTATGATACTATTACAAATAGTTATACAGTAGCAGAATGTGAAATGGTGGAAGTCAGTTGGCAGGAGGCGCTGATCCATAGATGCTTCCACCTTGTTGTCATTCATTCGTAAGATTTATCTGTGAGGATGGGGAAACTAGAGTTCCTCCTGTAGTTGGAAGCTACATCACTCTATGATGAAACTAGAAGCGTAGT